CGGGAGCCCAGGGGTCGCCATTCCCCTAGTGCTGCAGGTGGGCTTGTGCGTTCGCACTGTGGCCCGGTCCCGTGACTGCATTGCCGATCTGGACCACCATCTGGCCCAATTGCCCCACTGCGGCATCCACATGGCTGAGAGCCCCCTGCATCCGAATCGCCACGTTGTCGACGTGATCGAGGGGGTCTCGGCGAAGCCCTCCAAGCTTGATATCAGGCGACGGATCACCACCACTCCATGGTATATCTGCTGTAGGCCCTCTTCCACCTGGAAGGGCGCCGTCTGCCGGTGGGTCGCCACCTCCACCAACCAGTCGAGCACTTCCTGCACGCGACCCAGCGCCTTCACGCTCTCCAGCATCGACTCCAACTGCCACTGGAGTCCTTGAAGCAAAGCTCCGAGGCTGTTCACCGTCGCGAATGCTGCGCCGCCCGCTCGGAAGCGGGGGCCCTCCTGCATGGGCCCCACTGCCCGCCGTGCTGAGGCCGCGGCTGACCTGGCCGCCTCTGTCGCGGACTGCCGAGGTGGCCCCGTATTCTTGACCGCCCCGCGTGGTATCCACGTCAGTCGCTCCCCGCAGTGGGGACATCGCGAGCCCGAGCCGTGCTGGCTGCCGTGGCACTTGATGGCTCGAGCGTGAATGGTTGCACATCGGTGGAGCCTTGACCTGAGGCTGAGCTGCCGGAATATGCTGCTGAACCACCGTCGCCGCCCGCGGTGGAGCTGGGAGCGGCGCGCGCGGAGGAGGAGGCGGAGGCTTGCTGGCGGCCGGCGCGCTGAGCGGCGCGAAGTTCCCCGGCCCCGCCGACGCTGCTGCGATCGGGCGACCGACCCCAAACTCAGCCTGGCTGAACTGGAACATGCTGGTCTCCGGGCCCGGTGGACCCTGAGCCGAGGCTGCCGCTGCTGCTGACTGCTGCGCGCGCTCCAGCGGCGCACTGAGGACCTGCGGGGTCTCGAGCTGCAGCACCTGGAAGTTGTCGTCCGACGGCGGGTGTACTGGTGGCGCTGGAGGCCACTGGGCCGCTGCTGCTGCGGCGTCCCGAAAGGCAGGCTGAGCCGCCGACAATGGCGGCTGCTGGGCAGGAACGAGCTCGTGAACGTGGGCTCCCGGGCGTGCGCCGCGTGTCCCGTGCCCCATCGAGATTACCGAGCTGTCCGTCTCCGCCCCAGCGCTGGCCTGTGCTGCGCTGCCTCGCGCCGCGCGAGAAACTCCTCGGTTGCCTGCCGAGCTGCCCGATTGCTGGCTGAGTCCTTCTTCTCGCCTGCTACTGTCAGGCCTGGCATAACCGCCAGCGCGACCGACTGGCACATCATCACTTGCCTGGGTCGGCGGACAACAAGTGTCTGACTTGCTGTCGGGAAGAGGACAGTGCAAACTGTTCGACTGGCTCGAGCCAGAATGGGCCACGGGTGCTCGCGGGTGACTCGAGACCTCTGAGACATTGACCTTAGACCCTGGACAGCTCGGAATCTCTGAGGTATCCTTCTTGACTGCACCGAGGTTCCCGCGAGGGCCTGTCCTTACTGTTTCTTCCGGATCCTGAGGCCCCGGCCGACATGTCAGACGCTAGCTGAGACCGCGGCTTTTGGATACTGTCTTGAGCGCCCTGGATGAGCATTCCGAGAACCCCCGCGACGAGCAGGAACCCGACAATGACCTTCGTGAAGCCCTCCTGGAGACCTGAATGCCCTCGAACTCCAGCTGCGACGATGGCGATGAGTAGGATGATGCAGTTGCGCAGGTCCCCCGACTCGAGCATCTCAGGGGGGGGTTATTGCCGAACACAAACGACCTGGGCGGCATGAAATAATACTTGCCTAGTGCACACTCGGGAAACACGAGAGGCATGTCGAGATGCTGAATGATGCCCACCATGCGGTGGCACGCTGATCTTCACTCCTAAAAACTCCGAGGCCATGACGTTGCGAGGCAGGTCGATAACGCATCCTATACACTCGAGGAGGTTGACTGACAAAATGTGCGGCACCTCCTCCAGAAGCACTTTCGTCTCGATCACGCCCAGGGTTTGTCCCAGGCAGACTGGAACGAAACGAGGTCACGACCTCGGCAGGCCCTCCGACACCATGAGCCGCTCGCGGCCTCTGGAGCTGTCGGGGAATGACTTCGTACTTGGGCCCTACTGCCGCGAGAGCGTGAGACTCTCGGTTGAGGGCCGCTAGACCGACGAGATCGCTGCCGGCGCCTGGGTCCACGAGGGCCTGGGTGGCCTGTGCCACCAGGTGGGCGTCACCCTTGTTCAGCTCGCGGGCCGCCTTCCTCCAACCCGCCAGCATGTCCGTCGTGATACGCAGCGCGCAACCGGTGAACACGCAGGCATTGACGCTGCGGTCCTTCGCAAACTTGGGGCCGTCCTTGTTGGAACACCCTCGGTGACAGTGCTCCATTTCCTTACATATACCACACCTTGTGATCTCCATCAACTGCTGGGGGGCTGAACTTAACCCGACGCCCTCCAGGGCCACCGCCCCTGCCTCGACCTCGCCCCCCACCTCGCCCAACACCGTGCCGGAGAGGCGGAGGAGGATGCTTCCCCTGACTGGGAGGTATGGGTCTAGCTCCGTAGTACTCGCGGTCCTTCCTCGCCGCCCTCTTGAAGTCTTTGTTATGCCTCCACGTCCTTTTGTTGGAGTGCTGCATCTCCAACATGGCCAACGCCTTGGCGACTTGTGTGTCGTCCAGGTCCAGGTCCTCTAGCTCAGCGGAGATGGCATCCTCGTCCTCGCCCTCGTCGCCATCGTCGTAGTAGGTGTCTCAGTCCTGGTCGTCGTCTGAGTAGGGTTTGCTCTCGGAGATACCACCGTCACGACCGACCGGGCACGAGGGAAGAGGGGAACTGCCTACTCCGCCGCCGAGGCCCTCGTCCTCAGCAGCGGCCATAGCACCCCTACTGTTGCCCGGCAAAAGACGCTCTGAGCCCGATGCGTCCGTCTGACGCAGGGCCCAGCTCACACTTTCAAACTCAACCTTCCCGAAAGTCATCGTCTTCAAATTCTGAAGTACCTGGCTGTCAAGCCGGCGCCCTCCTCCTAGGAGGAATCCCTGGACTCTCGCTGGCAGCACCAGGTCGTGAGCCTCTGCCTCTAGGAAGTGCCGTTCTCGTCGGGCGACGTCGACGTACTGCGTCAGGCTTTCCTTCTCTCGCGTGTGGCCTCGAACAGGGCGTGTCTGCGAGCCCTCCGCAAGTCGTCGCCCTCCCGTTCCCCGATCATCAGAACCCATGCGCTTCAGCACCGCCTCGAGCCAGCCATTCCTCAACAACGTCGACTCGGGGAGGTCGTCGAACTGGAGCTGCATGGGATAATCGAAAACTCGAAGAAACTTCTCCAATCTGCGCCACATGGGCACATCCGTTTCTTGTTCCATCTGCTAATCGTTTTCCGCCACTGCCGATAGTGCGTCCAGCCTGGTCAGGCTGGCGGGTCGGAGTAGTCTCCCTTGGTGTGCTCCGACCAGCCACCACCACCACCACCGTTGCGACGCCAGTCCTTCCAGGACCAGTCGGGCTCGTCCTTGGTCCATGTCTGGTCCGCCTCGTTTTCATCGTCCCAGGAGTTCTGACGCCGCTCGCACCATTCCTTCCACTGATCTGCACTCCACTCGTTCCCTGGCGGGGCCACCGCGTTCCTGGACGCGTTCACCGCCACCTGCCAGGGGTCCTGCACGTGGAGCTGGTCTTCTGTGGCCTTGGGCTTCGCATCTCCGCCGTTGCTAGAAGCGACCTCAGTGTAGTCTCGCGAACAACCCCGGCCACAATCTGTCTCAGCTGCTCAGCTGAAAGGGTGACCGTCCCAGCGCCAGCTGCCGGCGCGCCGTGCGCGCTCTCTGCTCCGTCGCCGCCGATTACCGCCATGCTGAGGTCCGTGTCCTGCTGACCGTCCGCGGGTATCTCCGCGAATCGCGCCGCCAGTCGGCGCGAGCCTGGTCTGCCGGAGGCTCGCAAGCGGTGACCAGCCGCGACCTTCACGGTCCGCCGTGACCGCCCATGGCTCTCAGGCGGGACCAGGCTCCCCTACCAACTGTGGCAGCAGCGAGCGCATGCATATGTTTTTCAATTGAGCCAAAGTGTCGAGTTACATCGGACACCTTGGGTACACAACACATGCAAAACCTATGACACAAAATCTCCCTTCCAGTTACACAGGGCCAGCAGGACGAGGAAGCGGGCCGACGGGTGGGCAAACGAAGGAACACGGTCAGAGGCAGGAGAACACAGGGGTAAAAGAGGAAGAGGTAGGGGGCCGAATGCAGAGCACCCGCGGATAAACGGGCAGGGCCAGGGGCTGGGAGGGAAAGGCGAGGATGCTGACCATCAAGGGGGTTGCCGGGGCTTGAGGATGTTCACAGCAAGCCCATGAAAACTCCACGCGAATGGGAACATTCGGAATCATTCAAGTTCATGGGCACCCCCGCGAAACCCAAAGAGACCCCACGAGTCCCCAAGAGATCGCTGCGAGCACTCTGAAAACCCTTGAAGCACGTAAAGCTCGCGTAAGTCCGTGGGATCTCGACGTCATGAGGGGTGCCGTGACGCCGAGCCTCGATCACCGCTGACCGGTATCCCTAACCCGACCCCTCATTTCCTCCTAGCCTCAACTCTGGTCACTGATCCCCAAGAAAGCAGGACAGAGATTCCAGGAGGACCCATCTAGAGCCCAAGCAGAATCCATGGAGCGTCCAATCAGAGAAGACACCCTGGAATTGATTGCTCTAGAATCCTAGGGTAAGGGCGGTAGAGCCATCAATTCTAGGGCTACTCTAGAGTTGATTGATCTACCGCGGCAAGACCCCGCGAATCACGCCCCTTCTGTTCATCAGGGCAGCCCGCTCTGGAACTCAACCCGAACCCAACCCATTCCGGAACAACCCCCATATCCTGATTGGTGGGTGTGCCGATACCAGGGTCCGTGATTTCATGGTTCTGGGTGTTGTCACGCGGTTCCTTGATTTCAAACCTGTGGCGCTGCCCACACGGGGCCTGCGCTACAGCCGCTGCGTGGAGGACGGCCTTCTGCGAGCGCGCCCCGCCGGCCCTCCTGGCGTACGAGGAGGTCTCTTGAGTTGCATCCCTCTCTCACATCGCCCTTCCTTTTCCCTCTTCCCTCGACATCGCCCTCCCCTTTTACCTCTCCCTCACCACCCGACCCCTCCACCACCACTTCCTCCCCCACTCCCGCTTCCCCCCGCCCTTACTTTCACACTTCTCCCCTCATCCACTCTCACATCCACACTTTCCACCTATGTTCCTCATCTTACTCAGATCGTCGTCCTTGTCGTCGTGATCATCATCAGCACTGGAAATGTTGTCGTCGTCGACACCATCACTAGCATCTGCATCAGCATCATAATAATGCTCACCATCCTCATCATAAGAACAATCATCACAATCAACACAATCATCACAATCATCACAATCATCATCATCATCATCATCATCATCATCATCATCATCATCATCATCATCATCATCATCATCATCGTCATCATCAGCAGCAGCAGCAGCATCAGCATCAGCATCATCGTCATCATCATCATCAGCAGCAGCAGCATCCTCCTCATCCCCATCCTCCTCCATCATCATCAGTAGCAGCAGCATCAGCATCATCGCCATCACCATCACCACCACCATTATCATTATTATCATCATCATCATCATCATCATCATCATCATCATAATCAGCATCAGCATCAGCATCAGCATCAGCATCATCATCATCATCATCATCCTCATCCTCATCGTCATCATCAACAGCATCATCATCATCATCAGCATCATCATCACAATCAAAATCGGCAACCTCATCAGCAACAACATCATCACTATCATCGTTACCATCATCATCATCATCATCATCATCATCATCATCATCATCATCATCATCATCATCATCATCATCATCATCATCATCATCATCATCATCATCATAATCATCACCATCACCAAAAGCATCATCATCGTCATTATCATCATCAGCATCGTCAGCATCAGCATCAGCATCAGCATCGGCAGCATCATCATCAGCAACATCATCATCGTCATAATCAGCATAGTTAGCATCATCGCTATCACCATCATCATCATACTCAGCATCATCATACACATCGTCAGCCTCATCACCATCAGCAGCAATCATCATCATCGTCATCAGCATCATCATCGTCATCGTCATCATCATCATCATCGTCCGCATCATCATCAGTATCAAAATCAACATCATCATCATAAGCACCACCATCATCATCATCACCATCATCGTCGTCGTCGATGTCGTCATCTTCACCAACCAGCACGATAAGCATCACCACCATCATCACCGCCATCTGAATCACCACCACCATCGTCGTCACATCATCGTAATCGTGAATGCTGTCCGTCGTCATCACCATTACGGTCATTCGCATTATCGTCGTCAACGTCGCACGTACCATCACCATCTCACATCATCTCGATCGCTGCCCGGTTCCGCATCCTCCTCCTCCTCATCATCCCTATACTTATCATCTTCACTATGCTGTTTCTTTCTCCCGTGGCCGCCAGCATACACATCCACCTCAGCCTTCTTAGCATTGTCTTCCCCCGCCACCTCATGATCACTCTTGCATCGCGTCATCACCCTTGTCCTATTCCTCCTTCATCAGCCTCCTCCGCATAATGCCCCTCACACACCGTCCTATTCCTCCTTCCCTTCCTCCGCGTCAAAGACGTCCTCCGTCCTCGTCCTCCTCCTCCCTCCTGCTCCTTATCCTCCTCCTCCTTCTCCTCCACCTCTTCTGCTCCATCCCAATCCCATCATCCTCGTAACTCCTCATCCTCCCTCCTTGCCTCCATCCATCCACCACGCTTCTCAGATTCCTCCCACCCTGTATTGCGAATCCTGCGACTGTATTCAGCGAATCGCTTGCTGCGACTACTGCACGCACAAGTGATGGGGACATAGGGGCAGCGTCACCAGACACTATTACACACCAATAATCTGACACGAGGGTATGAAGGTGAACAGTGTACTTTCGCCTCCATCCTCCTCCCTCTCCTCCTCGTCACCATCATCATCACCACCATCATCACCACCATCATCATCACCATCATCATCATCATCATCATCATCATCATCATCATCATCATCATCACCATCATCATCATCACCATCACCACCACCACCACCATCATCATCATCATCAGCATCATCATCACCATCATCATCACAATCATCACCATCATCCTCATGCGAAGCTCCGCCAGGGCCTGCGCCCAGCGTGGGTGTGGGCGGATGGCCTCAGATGATGAGCGCGTTCATGAAGTTCTATGTTCGGAAGCTTGCCTCTAGGCTAAGAGATACGACGCCAAGGTTCTGGAACCCCCGACTCCGCTTTCATTCTTGTATGGCATCTTCCTCGCCTGGCCAGTCGGTCACGATCTGAACGATTTCTCCTGGGCCCCGTAGAGGAACCCCAGGAAGCAGGACCTCGATGCTGCCGCCCGCCGTGGTTCTGTCACAGCTGACGCCGGGAGGTCCGGGCCCGCTGACGGGGCGAGCTCCTGGCTCGGCGAGTCTGCACCCCCACGCCTGCCACCACGGCGCCGCCAGCCGCCGTCCAGCCCAGCCAGGCGGCTCCCGCGTCCGCGGTCGGTGCCCCGAGCCGGGCGCCCCGCAGGGAGGCAGTGCCTGCAGGAGGCCCACATCTGCCCCTCTTCCCCTGCCACCCCAGCCTGCCCCTCCACTGGCTCCTGCAGCTCCTCCAGCTCTCTCCTGTCGTACTGATCCTTTGTGCCGCTCCTCCTCCTCTTCCCTCTTCCTCCTCCTCCTCCTCCTCCTCCTCCTCCTCCTCCTCTGCCTCCTCCTCTTCTTCCTCCTCCTCCTCCTCCTCCTCCTTCTCCTCCTCCTCCTCCCCACCTCCACCACCACCACCACAACCACCATCATCATCATCATCATCAGCAGCAGCATCATCAGCAGCAGCAACAATACAACAACAACAACAACAACAACAACAACAACAACAACAACAACAACAACAACAACAACAACAACAACAACAACAGCAGCAGCAGCAGCAAAAACAACAACAACAACAACAACAACCACAACAACAACAACAACAACAACCACAACCACAACCACAACCACAACCACAACCACAACCACAACCATAACCACAACCACAACCACAACAACCACCACCACCACCACCACAAAAACAAAAACAACAACAAAAACAAAAACGACAACAAAAACAAAAACAACAGCAACAGCAACAGCAACAGCAACAGCAACAGCAACAACAACATCAACAGCAGCAGCAGCAACAGCAACAGCCACACCAACAACAACAGCAGCAACAACGACGACGATGGCAAAGACAACGACAACAACAACAACAACAACAACAGCAGCAGCAGCAACAACAACAGCCACATCACAACAACAACAACAACAACAACAACAACAGCAACAGCAGCAACAACAACGACAACAGCAGCAGCAGTTACAGCAGCAGCAACAGCAACAACACCAACACCGACACCAACACCAACACCACCAACAACAATTATCAATTGAAAAATGTTCGTTCTTACTGGCACGCCGTGTCTCTCATTGTGTATACCCCAACCCTCGATACCCGTAAATTTCGTTTTCAGTTGAACCCCTTTCTCGGGGGGATTATCTTCCTTGTCGGCCACTAACTGAAGTGCGAGGACCTCTCAAGCGAACGCGTCGTTCCTGGGTTCGGGAGCCTCTCCGGCCAGGGGCTTCCGGAATACGTATGGAGGAATATCGAACGGGAACCCTCATCGCCGTGTCTGGGCCTCTATCAAATTGCCCGATGTACGAAAAAGTCTCGAGCGAGAGCGCCACTCTTGAGTTCGGGGTCTCTCTGGAAAGGGCCTTTTGCGAATACAGATTGAGGAAATATTAAACGAGAACCCTTGTCGTCGTAGTTGGACATCCACCAATTTGACTGAATCACGAGAAGGTCTCGGGCGAGAGCGCCGTTCCTGATTTCGGGGGCCTTCCTGGCCAAGGGCTCTCGGAGTAAATCGCAAGGAAATATTGAGCAGGAGCCCTTGTCGTCGTGGCTGGGCCTCCACCAATCTGACTGAATTGCAATGAAGTCTCGAGCTTGAGCGCCGTTCCTGAGTTCGGGGGCCTCTCTGGCCAGGGTGTCTCGGGATAAATTGTGAAGAAATATCAAGCGGGAGCCGTTGTCGCTGTAGTTGGGCTTCCAAGGGCCCACATCTAAACTCAACCCGACGCTTGCGCGGGAGCCTCGCTGTCAGAGAAAGTTTAAACGCTTCCAGAGACCACTCATACAACAACAACAGCAACAACAACAACAACAACAACCACAACCACAACAACCACAACCACAACCACAACCACAACCACAACCACAACCACAACCACAACCACAACCACAACAACCACCACCACCACCACCACCACAAAAACAAAAACAACAACAAAAACAACAGCAACAGCAACAGCAACAGCAACAACAACATCAACAGCAGCAGCAGCAACAGCAACGGCCACACCAACAACAACAGCAGCAACAACGACGACGATGGCAAAGACAACGACAACAACAACAACTACAGCAGCAGCAGCAACAACAACAGCCTCATCACAACCACAACAACAACAACAACGCAAGGACACTCTCTCAGGCCACCCCGGCGGGGCCCGTGGGTGTGTCCTCGCCCCCGGGGCGAGCGCACTGCCCCAGGCCACACGTTGCAGTTGTTGCCCCGGGGGGGGGGGGGGAGGGGGGAGCAACGCGCAACACCACTGTCATACGCTAACGTCAATCTATATGTGTTTCCGAAACTCCGTTGGCTCCCTTACTGGTCCCCACGCACTCCTGTGTCCGAAAACCGACCACGCGCCAGCGAGGCCAGCTCCTCCTCCTCATAGGACTCCTATGGAATCGCGCAGGACCCTGTAAGGATCCTATAGGATCCCTATAGGACTCCTATGGAATCGTGCCGGACCCTGTAAGGATCCTATAGGATCCCTCTAGGGTTCCTATGGAAACGTGCAGGACCGAGTAAGGATCCTATAGGATCCCTCCAGGGTTCCTATGGAATCGTGCAGGACCCTGTAAGGATCCTATGGGATCCCTCTAGGGTTCCTATAGAAACGTGCAGGGCCCTGTAAGGATCCTATGGGATTCCTACAGGGTTCCGATGGAATCGTGCAGGACCCTGTAAGGATCCTATAGGATCCCTCTACGGTTCCTATAGAATCGTGCAAGACCCTGTAAGGATCCTATGGGATCCCTCCAGGGTTCCTATGGAACCGTGCAAGACCCTGAAAGGATCCTATGGGATCCCTCTAGGGTTCCTATGGAATCGTGCAGGACCCTGTAAGGATCCTATAGGATCCCTCCAGCGTTCCTATGGAACCGCGCAAGACCCTGAAAGGATCCTATGGGATCCCTCTAGGGTTCCTATGGAATCGTGCAGGACCCTGTAAGGATCTTATAAGTTATTCCTCTATACGACTCCTATGGGATCGTGCAGGACCCTGTAAGGTTCCTATGGGATCCCTCTAGGTTTCCTGTGGAATCGCGCAGGACCTTGTAGGGCCCTATAGGATCCTTATAGGATTCCGATGGAGCCGTGCAGGACCCTGTAAGGACCCTATAGGATCCCTATAGGGTTCCTATGGAATCGTGCAGGCCCCTGTAAGGATCCTATAAGATCCCTATAGGGTTCCGATGGAATCCTGCAGGGCCCTGTGAGGATCCTATAGGACCCTTATGAAGGTTCCGATGGAATCCTGTAGGGCCCTGTATGGATCCTATCGGATCCCTATAAGGTTCCTATGGCAGGACCCTGTAAGGATCCTATAGGATCCCTCCAGGGTTCCTATGGAATCGTGCAGGACCCTGTAAGGATCCAGTAGCATCCCTCTAGGGTTATTATGGAATCGTTCAGGACCCTGTAAGGATCCTATAGGATCCCTATAGGGTTTCCATAGAATCGTGCAGGACCCTGTAAGGATCCTATAGGATCCCTATAAGGTTCCAATGGGAACCTGTTGGGCCTTGTCAGGATCCCAGAGGATCCCTTTAGGGTTCCGATGGAATCGTGCAGGACCCTGTAAGGATACTATAGCATCCATCTAGGGTTCCTATGGAAACGTGCAGGACTCTGTAAGGATCCTATGGGATCCCTCTGAGGTTCCGATGGAATCGTGCAGGACCCTGTAAGGATCCTATAGGTTCCTCCTTATAGGACTCCTATGGAATCGTGCAGGACCCTGTAAGGATCCTATTGGTTCCTCCTTGGACTCCGATGGGGTCGTGCAGGACCCTATAAGGATCCTATAGGATCCCCATAGGATTCCGATGGAACCGTGCAGGACCCTGTAAGGATCCTATAGGCTCCCTCTACGGTTCCCATGGAATCGTGCAGGACCCTGCAGAGGGGTGTGCCAAAATGATCCTCGAGAGGGGTGTGCCATAATGAAGCCTCTGAGGAGCTCTCTGTGGAGCCAGGGCCACGATCCTCGAGAGGGGTGTGCCGAAATAGAGCCTCGGTGGAGCTCCCTGTGGGGCCAGGGCCACGATCCGTGAAAGGGGCGCGCCGAAATCAAACTTCGGTGGAGCTCCCTGTGGGGCCAGGGCCACGATCCTCGAGAGGGGTGTGCCGAAATGGAGCCTCGGTGGAGCCCCCTGTGGGGCCAGGGCCACGATCCGTGAGAGGGGTGCGCCGAAACCAAGCTTCGGTGGAGCTCACTGAGCCACGATCCTCGAGAGGGGTGTGCCCAAATCAAACCTCGGTGGAGCTCCCTGTGGGGCCAGGGCCACGATCCGTGAGAGGGGTGCGCCCTTTGGGGCCTGTATGGGGCTCCGCAGCAGTCCCGAAAGGACCTGCCGAGCAACGCCGCCGGGCCCTGCAGACCCCCGCAGCGGCCTGGCGAGGCCTCGTGGCGTTGCTCGGACCAGGGGCCCTGCAGGGCCCGTGCGTGGCCCCGTGGTGTTGCTCGGGGGGGGGGGGTCGAGCAACGGGCCTCCAGTAGTGTCCTCGCGAACAACAACAACAACAACAACAACAACAACAACAACAACAACAACAACAACAACAACAACAACAATCACTTTACCCGAACGCTCAGTGTTCTCACCAGTGCCAGGGTTTTCATGCGACGCCAGCCAATACCCCCACTTTGTGGGGGGGCAGTGCAAGCTCTACCAAATATCCACACGACTCTTCGCCACCACCCACACCCAGCTTCCCGCCCTATGACGTTCGGACACTTCACTTCGTGGCCTGCGGACGACCGTGGCTACTACACTGGCGTGGAGTACACACCCACAGAAGTTGTTAAGCCTACGTTCGTACACCCACAGAAGTTGTTAAGCCTTGTTAACCCACAGAAGTTGTTAAGCCTTCCACAGAACATCTGTTGCATATGATGCATATGGTACATGATACACATGATACACACGATACGTACTCACAAGATAGTTGATCACATCTGGTTTTTGGAGATTTCGGCGTGCGCGCGCGAAGAAAAAACGAATGTGTCCCGCATGGTATTATTTGACAGGGATGATGGCCCTGGCAGGTGCGCAACCGTTGTCGCAGAAGTTCGAAAAAGTTGCTCGCAAAAGCCCGTTTGACAGAATTGTTTAAAAAGTGTTGGTTTTCCTACGA